TACGAATACCCATAGGTTAGTAAGCATATCAATAAATATCTACCTATAACCGAACCCACTTATTGTCAAATTTCGAATCGTTTCTTTTTCAGTGCGATTGTAACTTATTTTTGGTACACCTTGTACATATACAGGGAGATTCACGTAGTCCGTTCGTTAAAAGCATTTAAACTTGCAGTTGAAGTACAGACATGAAATTTGGTTCACAGCATCATAGCCTTGATCTTGTGCTTGCATATATGTCTATAAATAAAAGGTTTAAATTGTAAAGTGTACGGTCGAACCATACAGGGTGTTTCATAATTGAAAGTTAATATTTAAGAAGGTGATTTCTGGGTGCATTTTAGAAAGAAAACTTCATATGAACCTATATCCTAAACGTCTTAACTTTTGAGATACAGGGTGGTAAAGTTTTAGTACATATATATGCCAAATTTCATTAAAATATCTAAAGTACAGGCATTAATAATAAATGATTTATTTTTGAAAACTTTACCACCTTGTATCTTAAAAGTTAAGACGTTTAGGACATAGGATCATATGAAGTTTTCTTTTTAAAATGGACCCAAAAATCGCCCCCTTAAATATTGACATACAATTATGAAACACCCTATATAACACTCTGTAACCAGTAGTGAAGCGTTGACGGGCCTATGTCTATAAGAACTTTTAGTCATATAATAAGCCAAAGGATTGGCCCCTTCCGGTATTTTGATCATATTTAGAAACACCCTGTATAGTGTATACCTATAGGTACGTAGATACTACATGCAAAATTTACACAAATTTTAAATAAGTACCGACTATACGTATAGGAGAGATACGAGTGTACATACCTATTTTAAAATTGTAACTTCATTTTGTTTAGCTGAATTTTAATCTACTTTTTGATAAACAAAATGAACTACGGATCCCAAGTCTAATTACAAACTACAACAATTGATGCACCTTGAACCTACCTAATACCTAATTGCACGACCAGTAGAACACATAAGTACCTAAACACAGTAAATGTTCTGTTCATTCAATAGGTATATTTAATAAGTACTTATGAGGTGAAAAGATAAGGTGCTGATCTTTGGGTTGTAGAAGCCGGTGGCGGTAAAGAAGAGTTCCCAATATATGGCTACAACGACCGGGTAACGTGACAGCTTCAGATCACATGGACCGAAATCCACTTACGAAATCAGCTAGCCATCGCACAGTATAATCTGTCTCGACATCAGTTATACAGCGAGATTGCTTTCGGGGAAATGTAAAAAGACAGGGATTCCCCTTGTCAGTCTCAGGCTCGGTCTCAGGTAATTAAGTAATACAATTGAAAGATTCCCAAATTTGAATTTTAGGAAAGAGAGAAAAGATACGTAGAAAAAGACCAAGAGTATATGTTAAGATTTTAAATGTGAACAATGCAAACGTGATTCACAGAGGAGAAAGGAAGAGCTAGAAGAGGGGAGAGAATTAGAGAATTGAAATGTTACCTACAACTAAATCGATTTCTAAAATAATATTTTCATTCATTTATGGCATCAGTTATAATCTGAAAAACTTTTTGACATTTTTTTTTACTAATTTTGAAATGAAAACCCCTGAAAACTGCTTTAAGACTTTCAGCGGCCACTCAAAAATTCCTCAGACAGTAAGGATTCGATTATAAAAAAGAACACTCACTTATCTTGAACGGTTTAAGAGATACTTAGATATGAATTTTTGAATAGGTATACTCCAAATCTCTCCAAAGTTTTAGAGAAAAATTGAAATATGACAAAAACTGACAGGTAAGTACCTAGGTACGCAAATATGAAAAGAGTTGAATAGGTATAGAATATGATGAAGGCGCATTTTTGGTAATACTGATCAGTACCTACCTATATTTTATTAGCGAAGTTTAAAATTATCTATCTCATGGGTAATCTAACTTAAAATAGACTAGAGCCTGCACATCTGCACTATAGCAGAAAGCTTTTAGTAAAAATTTGAAATCTCTATAGCTATTGTAATTGCTGAGATCTCAGCCGGACAGCCAACCTACCAGCCATAACGAATAATAGCGTAATTTTTTAAAAAATGCGCTAAAAATAGATAATGGCAGGTACATTTCTATTTTAAAAAACCAAGATGGCGACAACTTCCGGTAGGTATTTACGGAAGCGGCGCCATTTTAAACATATGTACCTATTTTATTTCAATTCGCAATGCTCGATTATGGCTGTGAACCAAATTTCAAGTTTCTATTTCAACTTCAAATTTAAAAACGAACGAGCTACGACCCTCTACGCCCTACGGGAATCTGCCTGTATGTAGGTACAACATTACACCTATATCACACAAAGTAGTAGGTATACTTATAACCAGTTCGGTAAAGATATACGTAAGTATTAATTTTGCCTCCTGTATAGCAAGTAGTAGGTAGTATACAGTTATCATGCCCTTAAATTCTGCATTTGTTTACATCTGTCTGCGTATGTAGGTATGCGGGAAACTGTGGCATATAAACATGCACTTTATGAGTTAAGTATTTTGTAGGAATCGAAATGTATAGGTACTAAATGTAATCAAAAAAATTTAATTTACATTTTTTTAATGTGATTCAGTAGTATATACTACAAATTTGAATAGGTACCTACTTACACTAAATATCTTTTTAATACGAGAAATTGGTTGACATACCTCTATACCACTTATAGAGGTTAATGATCAAATTCGAGGACCACCATGGGGATTTAAAAAAATGTTTAAAATAAATAACACATTTTTATGGCCACTTTTTTCCCTCACCAAGATATACTATAGTTTTAAATTTTAAATCCGACGTTTCGTCTACGTAACCTCATCATCAACTTGTTTTTCTTATGGAAGTAATGTTTACTTTTTGTCATTTGATAGAGAAATTTGTTTTTTTGTAGTCTTACGTAGTTTCTTTCTTTTTACGAATTATATTATTCTCCGAAACCATAGAAGATACGACGATCGCCGCAATTTAGGGAAAAGTTGCGTAATTAAACAGTTATTAGCATCCTTTAAAGAAAACCAGAAAATTCTGATTACTTCCGAAGATACATAGGCCAGTCAAATTAGGAAAAATAGCGGAAATAATTGAAAGAAAGCTGAAATTTTGTATAGAGGTACATTAGGGCTTGTATGCGAACATAGTAAAAGTCGGGACCAAAACTCCAATGGCTCGAGCCGCCATCTTGGAAAAAAGGTGCTCTAAATCACGTTTTCGCTGATATCTCGGTAACCGTGCATTCTAGTAAGTAAAGTTTTATATGAAAAAAGAAAGATAATAAAATTTTGTATAAAAAAGAAGGTACGCACTTTTTTTGTATTTTCGTTATTTACGTCGATACCTATTCCACATTGAATATAGAGCATAATCTTTTTTCAGATGCAGGTGGAGTATTTCGGCCCCGACTTTTAGTATGTTCGAATACCTCTAATACCAATTTTCAGCTTTCTTTCAATTACTTCCGCTATTCGTGGAAATTTGATCTAATTTAACTGTACTAACACCAGAAACACCGAAATTTGCCGATTTAGTTCATTTTTTGAACAAATAAAAAAAATAAAAAAAACACTTTCTCATGTTTTCGAGCTTTACAAGACACCATTGTGATATTTTGAATACCTTCCTACAACGTTTCGTTTCGTAGAAATCATCATCATCTTTATTTTTTATATGGCCAGTAAAAAAAGTACCCACTGAATTGAGTAGCGAGAATAGGTTACCTATTGGACAAATTTACCCACTCGAAAATTGAAAAGTTGTCCGATAGGTATTGTGTGCGGGTACACCATCTTGTTGAAACCAACAGTTTCCAACTTTTGTTTTTTTGTGCTGTATAGGTACCTATCATTGTATCCGTAATAAAAATGCTATACTCAATACAGTAGGCATAAGTATAGGGTACCTACCTACTTTTTTACGGGCAAAAAAATTAAGTTGATGATAATTTCATACCAAAACGAAACGTTGTATCAAAATATACCTATGCATGCAAATAATTTAACATCCATAAAATATAGATACATTACTATATTACCGTATTACCTACGTATTTTACACTTAGGCATGTACATACCTACATAATATTCCACAGTCTCAGTGTAGGAACATCAAAAACATGATTTTTATTAGATCTCTACTTTTTCATTTAATAGAAAGTGATAGGAAAATCGCGTAGTACCTGCCTAATTTCTGACAACAATAGCATTTTTATATGAATTTCTTATGTTACGATATAGGGGCGAGCTAGGGGTCTACCGAGGGATCTACTAAAACACTAAGGAAATCGACGTTTTGAAATAAAATTCTTCATTGAATTTGAAAATATTAAGACATGTAGGTATTATTTATCATGTAAAATATGAGGTAGGTAGATATTTGTAGCCGTAATTGTAACGATCAAATCTGATGTGTCTAAAGTAGGTACCTACAAATTATCGGGAATCGGATATATTAATACTTATAAGGTTCAAAAGTTTGGGAAATTTGCAGGTAATTTTAATTTCAGATGAGTAAGTTAGCGAGTTTAATTTCTGCATCTCTATGCGAGAACAAAAAAGAAAGCGTAAGCAGTAGTTATTAAGAAATAAAAACAATCAGGGAGACATTTTATTACTGGTGAAAGGGTAGGAGCGGAATGGAACAAGTGGTAATAAAATTAAAAACTATAGCACTGCCTATAAACACGAGTAGTCCATGAGTTGATATAGTGAAAAAGGCATGTGCTAACAGTAGTCCTGCCCGTAGGTGTGGTGTCTTTAAAGTCCTACCTCTTTGTAACCCGCCGAGATAACTTGTTCTCCCTCAAACTAGTAGCTTGAGAATAAAGGATCCCAATATGTGTTATTTTACCCGCCCAGGTGCACCGAAGTAAGGGGAAATATAAAAGGGGGAACTCCGGGGACACAAAAGCCTAGCATGCTGTCATCGAACTGTCTGAGAGGCAAGAGGGGATCATGCCACCAAAAAATGGCAGAATCACCGTCGTTGTGTTGGCGCCGTTGCATTCCTTGATAGCGTCTCGGCGGTGTGGTCAGTCGTATCAAACTACCGACACACAAAAGAACGTAACACGCACATTTTTACATGTTACACCCGTAACTACTAAACTTGAAGCATCCGCGTGTAAATCAATTACAGCAACAGCGTGAAACTTTACTCGGAACGCCTCGGAAAGTGGGAGCAACCAATCTCGATGCTCTTGCCGCGTATCAAACTAATCTTGTTAAATGTGAGTCAAAAGATTCTAAATATTCATTCTGTCAAAACATCTTGCTTCTGTTGTGGCGTGTAAACTACCTCACACCTTACGCAGTGAAAGTTCTAAGTGATCTAGTTTCGGAAGTTATCCCTTTACATTTCGCCCCTAACAATTTGATACCTTCACAGTCTAAGGACGGGAACCGATGTGCGCCACCGGCACCGCCAAAATGTCAATTACATACCTATGGATATCTCATTACTATAACCATTATTATCATAAACTCCTTCGTTCACATTTTAACATCAGAGATAATCTACAAATCCTTCCGATGTGTTAATGATTAATCGTCGCTCGCTGTGATCGCATTGTTGTTTAGTGTAAATAAATTTTCGGTAGACGCAATTAATTTATTGAGGTGATGTTGAACATTAGGTGATGGATGAAAATTGCACGATGAGGCCGTGCGCCACAGACTTTAGCATTGCCGCAATTATGTCGAGGCACGGAAGAGCTCGTACCTCCTCAAGATGTCGCGATCGCGATCCGCCGGATCCTATGTCGCCTCTTGGTAAGCAAATTTCCGTATTTTCGCATATACCTAATTAATTCAATTTTAAAATTACCTTGTGATTCCCGCTATGCGGTTCCACCCCTTATGTTAATTATGTATACCTACTTAAGGGTTATCAAACGGTCCAATAGCTTTTAATATAAGCACAATTGTCAGTGGGGTTTATTTTTCGTTCTGATGCAGCTCATGTTATACAAATGCAGCTAAAAGAAATTGCATAGGTATAGGTAGGCACACAATTAGAATGAACCAATAGTACCTACAAATTTCAGTGTGAATCAATGCTAAAATTAACGGCCTGTCCGAGTCATGCCATACCTACACTGCTTTATTCTTGGCAGGTGCCAGATTTTAAATTGATCTCGCATCATTTGTCGTATAGGTAATATACCCACTAAAAACTAATGGGGTTTGCTCATTATTTGCCACCTATTCCTTTAAACACTTAACATCAAATTAAATTAAATATCTACTATCTTATAATACCTATATACCAAACATGTAGGTACATATACCTACCTATACTACCTACCTATACACCTTAGGTAGGTATCTATATATAAAAATAATTGTACCTAAGTATATAGTAAGCATGATCGCAAATCCAAATAAAATTATCTAAAGAACGGATTTGGCACGCATTTTGAGCAAAATAACGCGTAATGTACCTACCTATACCTATACATTTAAAATGTATCTGAACCTAGAGGTAAGTTTCATATTATGCGGCCACGCCGATCTTAAGATATTCGAACTGTCTACCGTGGATGACATTTTACCCATGTAAAATACTTCCCTACCTACCTAGGTACGAATTTATAATTTGTGATGTAAGAAAACACCCCCACATATGTTGTTTAATAAAAGAGTTGGCACGACTAGCGTAATGCGACTAGTTTCAGGGATTTGGTATCTTCTGATGACTCCAATGTCTCAACGTCGTATCATCACCTTAAAATAGATTAAAAGATTAGAAATAAAAAACTATTCCTATTAGGTACCTAACTATTAAAAGTGAGGTTACAGCAGGGTAGTGCGTATTATCTTAAACACGATTAAAACTTCTTTTAAATAAAAACCCGAATCGTCGAAGAAGTCAGTCGCCGACGCAAATTAATAAGAAGGGAAAAATAAAGTTAAATAAAATAAAAATTTGCAAAATGTATCTACTTAGTTAGGTATATAAAGGGAAGATGAGGGCTGAAACCAAACGCGGAAGCAACTAATAAAAGACAGAGTTCTATATACTTAGTTGAGGTTTTGGCTAGAGATATTTCAATAAATTTAAAAATACCAACCCCGGTATCTTGGTATCAGTTCATTGCTGGGAAGCGTTTTATGAGCGTTCTCTTTCACTATATTTCCAAATTCGTTACAGTCTATGCTCTTTCCGCTGAAAACCTTTGAAAAGTCTGTTCAGAACAAGAAAATTGGAAGGTCATTGGTCATTTTTTCATAAATTGGTTTAAAGCAGCAAAATATAGCTATCAGAATTAAACCTTACCTATCTCTAGGTATAGGTATATTATTATCTTGAACAATCTATCCCCTATACTTACCTCGCTTTATATACATTTAATTAGAAAATTTTGCATATTTCACGTCACTTCCTTACACAGACTCTTACAATTTTTGAAGAAAATTATTCAAGAAGTTCATCTAGTTAAAACCAAGATGAAAGCTACTTCTCTGGAGAATTAGCTGCAAAAATTTTCCACTCGGTCACATTGGTGAAAGAGGTCGCAGCTTCAAAATCGTTATGTTCTAACATTAAAACATACAGGGCGCAAATTTTGTCTCGATATCAGATCATCCAAATTATTATTTTAAAAAAACGATATCTTCGAAACAATTTTTTTAAATAAGTTTTTTTATGGTAGGTATCCAAAATTATAAAAAGTTCGCACCAATCTACCTAGGTACCTATACTTTAAGTTTGTGGTCAAAGGGGGCATATATTTTTCAAATGGCATCCACTAGTTTTCATTACATATTTTAAAACAGTAAACTTTTTTGGATAGCAGCTTAAAAAACTTATGCTACATAGCTAAATTTAAGAGGAAAATTTAAATTAAAGAAAATAGTTAATTAATTCCATATAATTTTACTAGTTTGCTAACATGTTTGTTGTTGTCATATTAAACAAAGTTCCTTCTTTAATAATACCTCACGAAAAATAGTGCTTTTCATTAAAAGGGTGGCCCTCTTAGTTCTCTAGATCCCTCGATCCGCACGTCATTAGATATAATTCTTAAGCATGTAGATTTACTCAATTTTTTTGCTCTCACAAGTAGCAAAAGAATAACCCAAATTAGTGAAATTCCTTAACTTGAGGTTTTTTCTGAAATTTAATTGTGCAACATAAAGTTGTTTAGGCTGCTACATATTTAAAAAGTGGGCTCTTTAAATTGTTAAAAAAAATACGCTCCCCTTGACCATGCAGAAAGTACGCCACTGACCACAAATTTAAGGTAGGTACGGTACAGTCATTGACAAAAGTAATGATCCCCAAATAGGTAAATCCTTCAACATACTCAAGGAACATTTGAATATATTCTGCAACCTGGAAATGCGAACCAACATATTAAAGTATCTCCTCTTTGAAGAAACCGACGGAGCCCAATGTGATAGGCATGTTGGTTGCTTATGTTGCAGAGGTTCCTTATTACATTACTTCGGCAATGACCGTACGTAGATTGGTAGCAAACTTTTTCTAGTTTTGGATACAATAATAAGCTTCTTTAAGAAAACGTTGTTTGGAAGATATATTCAGTGTGCCACCCTTTCATCTTGTATATAAGATCAAACAATCTTAATTTCAAATCCTTCTAAATCACCATTTGCAAAGCACATCTTGACTCCTTGTCATTCCTTCTCTGATGATAACTATACAGATTTAAATGTACAACTTTGAAATAAAGGGTTAAAACTACCTATAAACAGTAGATGTAACGAAGTTCTTAATGCCAAATATAAGAACTTGCTCACATTCACTTAATTTTTAGTCGCTCCACGTCTATACCTTCAGACAATTCTTCGCGTAGGTAATAGGTATACGTATAGGTATACTTGGTTTAAAGATATCTACCCCTAGAACTATATCGTGAAATGAGCATTTTACAGTTCCATGATTCAAGAGATGGTCGCGAAATGAATGTCTGCTTTTGACATAGTGCTAAAAATAAATCGTAATTTCCTAGCAAAAGTAAAACAAAAACATCAATAATTAAATCCTCGAACGCGTTTCAACAGCAAAGCGGTCATCATCAGCGAACAACTGAATTTCAGTATGTAAGATGTTTTGACAGAATGAATATTTAGAATCTTTTCACTCACACTTCAGTTGTTCGCGGATGATGCTGTTGAAACGCGTTCGAGGTTTTAACACATTACTGTGGTTTATTGGTGTTTTTGTTTTACTTTTGCAAGTTCAACGACCACAAGTAGTACGTGCTTGAAAGCGGCTTGAAACCTTCTTCTGGGGGTACCCAAAATAATTCTGTACGGTTATAAGAGCTGATTTTGCTCCTTCGAATGGGCCCGGAATTCATTTCTATTTTTTACGTAGCATGCTAGAGGCTAGATTAAGAAGACCATTGGGGTCCATACGAGGCACTATGGTCAAATATCACCTGCACAAGATTGGACTTGTAGGGGAGCCACAGGTTTTGTGTTGAGGCAGAAAAAACTACCAAGCGTTGTCTGTCACTGTGATCAGAGACAGACATCAGTTCCTTGGCGAGTTATCTAGAACCGGGGGGGGGGGGGCAACTGAGGCTAAACAGGGTTCTATCCTTTATAAAGAGCAACGGGCTCTGAATCTAATTGTGCAAGAAGGGGGGGGGGGGGGGGACCTAGCAAGGGCCTTTGTTGCACTTAAGTGCTGTCTGATCTATATTTCCACTTGTTTTTTATTTTTTATTTTACATTTGACAGTGAAACAAACTGGAACCAATTTAAAGGAATTATTGTGCATAATGTTGTCTTGTACCTGTATCTCTTTTCCGAAATCGCCATGAAACCTTCAATTTTATTCTTAGGTATATAGGTACTTTGTCAGAAAATTTTAGTTTCCATCATGACATCCGCGACAGTATAGGTAACACTTTTTCTGCCGCCTATTACATTGGCAACGCCTGTTGAAAGTTCTAAGTAGGTAGGTATATCAAAATTGAAATGTTATATCTATCAAAATAGACGATTTCGGGAAAAATGTAATAGATACAAATCTCTGAAAACTCGTCGTCAGTAAAAGGATTCTATAACTTGACTCGGTCCCAAAGGAGCCTCGTGCATCAATATTTCCTCGCTTTTATGTACCTATATAACTATTCAGTGACAAAATATTAACGATATGCGCCCTGGACTGTAGGATAATCTCATTTTATCGCAATTTTTTTTACATTTGCTGCTTATAGTCAGCAAAATTCAAAATTATTAAGAAAAATTTTGAATAATAATGCTAACTAACGTTTATTCGATTGATGGCAATACGGTGTGGAACACAATATCAGTCAAATGTTCGCCACGGCCTCGGCGGCAGATCTCGTTCCATTTGTCTACATTTTCGATAACCTATAGCTTCCCCGGTGTTGATCGAGGGAATGATGGCCACTCTTGAATGGTGTTTGGGTTTCCCGCATACACTTTAAGCTTCAAATAACCCCAAAGAAAGAGGTTTTTCTACAATTTTAACGCGTGCAACGCTGCATGATTCAATTTGCCAATGGTTGAGAAACCAAATGTCAAAAAATAAGCAAAAGAATACGATGAGAGTAAGCCTGGTTAACACTTGATGTATACTCGACTTTTGACACCCTATAGAGTATAGATCAGATTGGGAAATGCAGTTTTCTTATTACCCTTAAGAGATTATCATTTTCCGAACAATTCAACCTTTCTATAATCCTCATAAGGTCCAGGGTTCTGTGTGGACAGGACGTTGTGAGGTTCGCAATTTAAATAGCTGTAAGTAAACATGCCAGACCTTATCATAG